AAATGAATGGATGATAAGAGAGGCATTGATGGATTTTAATTATTCTTCCGTTAAGGCACCTGCTGATCCTGTGAAGCTGTCTCCATTGCTGCCTATTGGTTCAAAAGTTGCCAGTTTGGCTTCGAAAACCAAGTCGAAGAATGGCCCACCCTACTATTATACGCTGAAAAATGAGGTAGCCCCTTAAATTTCACTTTTTTGAAATCACCTTCTCAAAGTTACAGCAGCAGACCTCACGTTGTGCAAGAACAGTTTCTCTGCCACTGCGAACTTGTCGTAATTGCAGACTTAGTGACACGCCTAGCGACAAATAGTTCCAAGAGCATATTAATTTTTGAAGCTGCTGTAAAATTCACTGCTGTGTCTGCATTTACGACATGCACGGTGACGCGAAACAAACTACGATACTCACTTAGTAATTTCAGTCCGATCTGTTCGAACTCGATCAATCCACCGGAGAGATCTATTTGATGAGGAAAATTCGTGATCTGGCCGGACAGCAGCTATCGATCCCCTATAACCAAATCAATCGATCCACTTATGAGTCCGAAGATAAATTGATCGAGTTTGAAATCGGGAACGGATCAGTCGATGCTCCGTATTTCGACGAGGAAATCGTACATGTCACGGTGGCCGAAGATGCTCCTATAGGTTTGTTCACCGCGTCGGTGTTTGTTTACATGTTTATTTTAATCAATTACTTTATTTAGTATTTATATAGATTATCAGTTTATTTACCACCTCTGTGGGGAATATTTCAACCACATTTATCTGCTTTGTTAATATCAAACAGCGATAAGGCTTACGGATTGTAAACAACTTGTAGGTGATTTCGAAAAAGGTGAGGGGGTGACGTGTGGGACCACGCCCAAATCTGGACGAGTTCCTCGTGGCGATCCTAGGCATAAATTTGAAGTAACAGACCAAAACTCGTACTTGCTGGCGGAGCGCTTCCTCCTGCAAAGATGCACGCAGGCGATTTTCTGAACGGCGCACGTCCTTGCTCATTGAAGACAGCTAAAAGGCCCATTCTACTAGGGTTCACTGTAACCATCTACAGTAAACGAGGTAGCTGAGTGCGTAATCTCAGTGGTGATGCCGATTTTGCGGCCTGGAACTCGTATCTTGGGTGATAGTGGTTATGGCCTCATCGCATGCAACACTTCTCGATCGCCCGCCGCCGTGAGTGTCTGCGTCTCGTTTGTCCCCTATGCTCTCTCATCTCTGTCTGTCCTCTCACCTCCGCTCATAGTGTCCCTTGAATTGCTTGTCTTCGGGTGTCTCGCGGAGTTATATGCCCGGGAGGAGGCTTATTTCGGATGTTTCCTGTTTTCGTCAATGAAAAATCATTTTGTATCCATTACTTCATTTCCTTGACCTCATTACCCCGCTACTGCTATCGCGCACACCGCCAGCTCACGAGACGGGGTTCGTCAGTGAATTTGTAGACTTCCATAAATCTTCCACTCATTGATTTTTCGAGCGCTCGGACAGTGTTGAATACAATAATTATTGTTCCTTAGAAGCGTTCGGCTCCGAATGTAAGTTCTGACAATTTCAGATGATTGTGGAGATTCAGGTCGCTCACAGCGATGCTACCGTCCGATGCACTCCGACTTCACACCGATCGACTTGGGGTGGCCTACAGTTGTTTCGCAATTAGATCAGTATTCCGGTGATTAGGTGTATTGACACGGTGGGTACTGGAAAGGAGCTAAGATTTAGGAGAGAGAGCTGGGTTTTAACCATAGTGAGGAAGAGCACGTTCCAGCATCTATCAATTCAGGCTCCTCATCATCTCGTCGTTGTGGCTGCTGCTGGCGGTGGAAAAGCTAGTCAATTGGTCGTTATCAGCGTCGATGATAAGAACAATAATCACCCAGAAATCATTAGGTTCGTTGTGATGTCGTAGGTTAAGTTTAAGTTTAGTTCATTGCTTTCGGAATGGGTCTAAAATACATGCAACAAGTTATTTTCGACTCTCCTTCTTTCCCTGCTCTATTAGGGCTTTATCACTTAACAGTTCAGAAATTTGAAGCAATCAAAATGGTTCATCGTCCTAAAATTCGAGTATTGACTTTACTTTGCGAAGCAGACGACATGCCTTGTACAACCTCAGGCTGACCCGCAAAATTCACACAAATATGCTATATTTTGGCTGGTCCTGCCCAGACATGCCCAATTTCGATGTAGGCCCCTTTCTTGAAGACGATGTGGGGCTATGTGACGAACGAAGACCACGACTCTAGTCCAGGGCTCGAAAACGTAGATTGTTGGACCGCAAGTTCACGGTCAGGCAGGTGTCAGACTTTTCCGACTAGTCGCTTTGCAAATCGCGCGATTCGCTAGCGATTTCACCAACAACTCCTGCAATTCCTGCAGCACGTCGGCGACTGTTCGCTCGGGGCATCGCTGGAATCGCTGGCGCATCGCTTGTACCTCTTCGCTAGCAATGGCCTGCTTCCTTCTTGGCGACGAGCTTGATGTCCGTTACTGATAGCCCAGTGCTTATTTCACTTTTGGGTGCAAATGGGATCAATGATGGGTTTGAAATGAAAACAGGGTGCTGTTATGGTTTAAGCAGTTATCACCTGGCAGCCTTGTGCATATCAGTTTTGTCAGAGATCTCGCTAAGCGACCCTCCCAATTGACCATCCCGTCTGGGGCGAAAGTTTTGTTCACAACCCAGCATTCTTGTAAACCTCCCAATTGAATTCTTCTCGAAATTCATAACGTTTCGAGAGAGCGCATCTCTCTTTTCTCATATCTTCTCAAAAAATGCTTGCTTCATCCCCTTAACTAGTGAAAAGCAGAGAAATTCTGATCTTTTGCAGTGGTGCTGAGGTGCTGGTGTTCACGGAGCCATCAAACCGGGTTATCCATTACGTGGTCGCCACCGATGACGATTCTGGCCCAAACGCTGCCATTTCTTACGACCTGATCTCCGATCCCACCGATTGCTTCGGTATCGACCACAAGACTGGTAAGCTGGGAGGGTTCAGTG